ACCACTTACACGGGTCTTACCAAAGTACAACAGGATAGCACAGACAAGAAACTAGTGCAAGTAAAACAAGAATAATGCCCTGCAGGTCTGAGTCTGGAAATGCGTGAAACAATCTCACGCATCGTTCTTCATAACAAACGCTACACATGCCTTTTCCCATACAGTACCTCATATTTGTAGCCTCTTCTTCTGAATAGTATATTTTCTCAACAGTCCTGCTTGACAGAGTGAAAGGTAGTAACACACAAGAGCTAATGCAGATGCATCCTCAAGGCCCGTTATTCACAATCGTCTTAAAGCCTGCTGTATTTTTTCAGTGATAACTTTGCATTGCCATACTGAAGACTGTGCTAGCACTTTGATACAGAACAGATATTTCTCTTTAAGGCATTTAAACAGGAACCATGAACCAAATATTAAAGCAACCCCTCGTCCCCCCAAACCCCAATGGGCAGGGTGGACTAATTTGCTGCAATAAGATAGAGCTGATTGTCACCGCAAGCCTGAGCCAGAGCACACATCACAGGAAACGATGCTCCTCGGAAAGTAAGAGAAAATTCCACAGGGATGGGAGAAAAATATCATCATCATCTTCTATTTTCCAGATGGGAAATTAAGGACTGGAGAGATTATGTCCAAGACTATGAGAAGTATTTAGGCTTCCATCTTTCTTTGAAATCTGCGTAAGGCACCAAAAGTCTCCTTGCCAGGTCACTTGGACTCCGTATCTCAAGATCACATAATGAGTTTAAATCCAAGTGCCTTCAAGTTACTAGCCACTATCATAAACAAAATGCCATGTCTCTCTGTTTCATCTATGTTTAATAGTAGAATTTGGTATAACCAACAGTAGAAATTGGCCCCACCTCAGTCATTTTGTCAAAATTCAAATGTTTTTCCTGGTGCAGAGGGTTTGTACAGTTATTTTTCTCTGATGTGAGCTCTATACCCAGTCCTAGAAAGACCTGCCTTACTTTTTATTGACGCTGTGTGAAACAGAATACTGGGCTAGATGCGCAGGCAGGATAAGATAATGCAAACAGTACTGTCTCAGGATTAAACTGAAATCCAGATGTTAGTGAATTGGCATCCTGCACGCTCCTGGATTAGAAACAATAAAGACGTGCTGCCGATAAGCATTTGCAAAAGATCTGCAGTTTCTTAAGACCATCCCTATTTTTATACCATAGTTTCCATACAGAGGTTAATTACCTATCTCAGCTTCCTTCCCATTTACCAAAAAAATGCTGTATTTTTCCAAAAGCTTTCATTACATTTAAGCTCACAATTTTTTTTTATATAGCTTCATGGTTTTCATCACATACCTACATGTTACTGAGTTCACGAGGCAGAGTCCTCTCATTTACAGGCTGTGGGTCTGGAGTGGTTCCCACTGCTGTTACAGGAATCACTTCAGATTTACACCAGGGCACAGAAAAAAAACAGAATTTGGCCTGCTATTTTCTGGACTGGAACACTATATTGACTATTATTTTTCCATATAATAGCGAATGAGTATCAAAAGGGAGCTGACATGAGCATTGTGAAAGGAAAGATAATTGCCGCTTACAGAAAAAAAGAACTACCAACACACCAAAGGGCAGATGAAAGCCCACAGATTCAATATGTATTTTTAAAGCATTATTGAGGCGAACTACTTGTATTAGAAGTAAAAGGAAGATACTGAAATCTGCAACCGGACAGAGACAGTTTTTTACTGGAGAAAACCTGACAGCCATACAGACATGTTTCCTCGTTCCTGTGAGTCTGGGCCTTGTTGCAAGACATGCAAGATATTTAGTGCAAGATGCAGAGTATCCTTGCTAAAATGGTCTCTCCAAAGCCACCATGGATTTAATCCTTAAATTTGTTACACTTGGGTAAAGAGAGAGAAAGTAAAATTAAATCAGTTGCCAGATGGTGCTACTGAGAGATTTATTGTTTGACCACAGAGCAGCAACCCTTTTTAGGAAAAGCAGAGACTAGCAATGTGATGCAGGTCTTCCAGTGCTGCGAGTGGTGATAGGAAAGCACTTCTTCACTACAGGATCTAATCTGGTGGCCTTGCGAAAGCACACGTCAATTTAATTCAATGGGTTTAATTAAGCCTTTGCAAACCTTATGCGGACAACCCCGTTTTAATTTATGAATGCCCTAGTTTGTTTAATTGAAACCACTTAATAATTCCTATCTTCACAGAACTGAGACGTTACGGCTCCTAGAGACTATTAACATCGTCCAGCCCAACGGGTTTACCAGCTTCTTATCTAGCTTCGCTAGATAAGCGAAACTGAAATAAGCAACTGCCTTTTGCATGCTTTAACTAAATTAAATGAAACGAAACCAATGAAACCCTGTACATACAGAACCCTGCACGGCTTAAGGACGCGCTCCCCAGCCCGCCCGGCCGCGGCGCGGGTTGGCCGCGTGTCGCCTCCCGCGC